ATGTGAACCAACACCGAGCACATGGTCTTAAGGGCTTCCTCCCCGTAAGACTGCAAAATGTCGTATGGTTTTCTTTGGCTATTGCAATACTTCCACTGAGCCCTGACTATCATGTAACAAACCTAGAGACCAGAAAGCAAATGACTTGGCCATGGTTTTCCTGAGGTCATTTTAATTCATCAAGTTTCTCTGAAACCGTGGAATTCTTAATTAGAAAGCATTCAATACAGTGTCACTGAGAAAAACACCAATTCACTGCACTTCCAAAGTGCCTCTCAGCTAAGGATAGAGAAGGTTTTTACAAACACTGCTGACTCACACTGCCCCCAGGAGAGAAGTGTTATTACTATGATTTTGCATAAGACAAAGATGAAAAAGTTGTACCTGGGCAAAAAGCCCCACTCCATGTATATAGTGAGCAGGCAGGCACAAACAATAATCCTCCAGTTTGTTTTCTTCTCTATTTCTACCTGATGTGATAGGTTGATTAATCTTTTTCTTCTTATACATATATATAGATAGATAAAAATGTATAAAGCACTTTGGAGAACACTAAACACCGTAAGCAACATCAATACATATTGCACAAATTAATTATTATAATTATTATAATAAGTTGTATGTATCAGTAGTTTGATGGACAAACCCCACAATTCTTATGTCTTTTTGTAACAGAACTTAAGAAGTAAAATAAGAGTTTGGAATAATGTTTCCTGACATCTGAATATCTAATGATATTTTGTAGTACAGATATAAACAAAATATTCTGCATGACAATGAATTGTGGAACTGATATTAAGTAAAATCAAAGAAACACCTCCCAGGGAAGAATCTAGAAATCAAGACGGTGGAAAGAGGAACTTGCAACAACTCAAGTTTGAGTGTCTACATATTTACATGTGAAAGCTTCACATGATTCTGGGTCTTTAGGTAGGGTAGTGCGTGCAATGGAGTCTTCAATAGATAAAAAAATACATCTGAGTGTGCATTTAAACCTTCTTTTTCCTGGAAGGAACACTGTAAATAGATTCCAAATTAAAGCAAACCTAAGATGTAAACAAGAAGTTCTCTAGAATTAGATGTGTCCAGCTGTGCTCAAGTTGCAATGCCCGAATCCAGATGCTTTCTATTTGTGGTCTGGCACAGGTCTTTCTCACAGAAAGAAGACTAAAAGGATTTTCAACAAAATAAAGAAATTCTTGTGTTCTGAATTGTGGGGGTTTGAAGCTTTACCATTTTTTCTTTGGTTGCTTGGTTGTTTTGAAAACTGTTTGAAAACTCTACTCACCCCTCCTGAATAGGCCTCCTTCTGCCTTCCCCACTCACACAGCTGGGAGCTGAAGGATTTTTCTTCTGGCTAGTTCCTTCATGTTGATGACAACAGTCATTATTTCCACACAGCTACCTTGAAAAGAAAGTCAATTTAGGAATCAAACACGCTACAACAAAAACACTGTTTCTTCTGACTTTCTGGAAGAACATTTTAAACAAACGCAACATCGGGATGAATATACAATCACAAGGTCACTGGTTGTCAATGAGATACCTTTACTTTAAAGGATCAAACTCTCCCTTGCAGACTTTTGGTTGAATTGGATTTCAGCAAGCATTGGTTGGCCAAAATCACAGGTGGCTGCCCATGAACTGCACGTGCTTCTCCAAGACTTTATCACCCTCTGAATGGAGATCTTGTAATTTTTCTCCTCTGTCTTTCCCTCTAGTTGGTGCTCTCAGACTATCTGCCTTACACCATCTACACAAGTCTCACTGGAAAAATCCTCATGGCTTTGGCTCCCTCTTTTTATTGTCTGCAGTTCTCCATAAATTCCTGGCTGGGAGGGAAAAAGCTTTTTCACTCCATGACCCCGGATTTCTGTCAGTTCCATGAACTGTGTCCAGACCTAATCTCAGCCCTGGACATACTTTTACCATAGAATCATCTCTTAAGTTACTCCACGTCTCTACTGACATCAGCACCACCTTTAAGCAAGTCCACCTGGAGATTTCATAAGAGTTGGGTATTGTTAAGACATGTGAGCAATCTCTGGACTTCATTTTACCACCCCATTAAGTGACTTGGTCACAGACAACGTGGGACAAGAAGATAAAGGGCCATCCTTAGTCATGGCTTCTTGAAGGTCAGGATGCTCTGCCAAAATTATCCAGGACAGAACTGCTTTTTCACAGCTGCAACCACAGCCTTCCCACAACAATCACCTGCTGTCACTTCTGGTCACCCACAAAGGTGGGAGAGGTATTTAGGTTCCATAAAGTCTTTGGAAAGCCTCTTATCAAACCCCACCTCCTCTCTCACTCCACAAAACCATGGTTACATCTTTGACTTGTTTTTGTTGGCACTGAAGTATCCACAATGTAATTTACTTGACCATGATGGAAGGAGGTGAGTTGTTTGCTTGTTTATATTGCCACATACAATTATTATTTATCCCCTTGATTTTCCTCCTCAGCAAGAGGTTTGACCTCCTGCGGTTTTTCTCCTCCTCCAAAATTCTAGATCAGAATAACGTGCAGGTTTTGCTTCCTGAAACAAAGATATTCGAATGCACATTACATTGTTGTTTTCTAAGTGGCAAACAATAAATAGATAAGGAAATAACTTTTGATTTTTCATCTTCCTGGCAGATAGGGAAACACAGTGTCAGGCCACAAGGTGTCATGGCTGAGAAAGCAGCAGTAAAGAAACCAGAATTCCCATGTGATAGTACAGCATTTGCTACCTGACAAACAAAGGCAGGATATTTTGATAACTTCCTGTCACCCTAGTGGTCGCCTTTACTGGATCACCCTCTTCCTTAGCACCACAAAACCTCAAAATTCCAGATATTGATCTGCATCCATCAAGAAACTGAAGTTATTTTAAGGTTTTGAAGACTACAGAAAAACTTAAGCTGGCAGAGGGTGCATAAACACACTCAAAGTGCAGTCTCCTGGAGCACCTGAGTGTCAGCCAGAGGGAATGACACTGCGATGAGCAAGCTGAGGAGCTTTTGCTCTGTGTCTTAGCAACAATAGGAACAGTTCATTGATCCACACTGGTCAATTGATCTACTGGAGAAAGCAGCTGACTTAGTTTCTTATCATGGGATATCACTGTTATGTCTTGTTTGACCTCCTGCTACTCAAAAACTGCATCTATGTGTTTGTACAACATCATTTATAGTGGCCAATGTTATTGCTCAGTCTTGCCTGTGATATGTTGATGTCCAAGGGCAGAAGAGATGGATCTGCAAATATTTCTGGAAATTACAGGGCAGTTCCAGAAACTATGGAAGTCAAGTGCTTGGGACAAATAAAGAGAGCAAACACACCATGATACGAGTGCATCTCATCTCACTCAACTCTCAATTTCTGGGACAAAATCCACAAGAACCAGTGGAAAGAACAGAAAGCTCTCAGGCTTGATGCATTTGCTAGTGAAGACAGTACCAGGAATTGGCTCCTTTTCACTGGCTAAATATGTTCCTCGTCTGCAGGTTCAATTTGCCACTGAAAGCTTGACTAGGTTTCCTTAGCAACGGGGAAACATTCTGATTGACAAAACTCACTGGTTTTGGCTGAGGCTTCAAAGTGCTCACTTCACCATCACCCCACGGTTATTTTTAAACTCCTTGCAAAATTCACAGCTGAGCATTTTGATTCTGAGTGAAATTCATAACAACAACAGAAAAGAAACATCGCCAGAGTGATGCATTCTGAGGAAAACAGGAGGTGGGAAAACTTTGTGATCTGTGACAGTAGCAGGGGTTTTTTCCCTCTTATCCCTCAGTCTGAGAAGAAAATGAGGCTGCCTGGGTGAAGAGGAAACCAAACAGACAGTTCTACAGTGAATAAAAAACCCTATTTAAATTATAATAATAATAGATAATGAAGAATGAAGTGAAACACCATTTGAAGATAACTTAAGATATGACAAAAAGAGATTGAAAAGATAATGTTTGACTATTATAGAGGAGAGCTGGGAGCTAGAAAGGGTACAACAGATGTATGAGAAGGTAAATACTCAAAGCTAAGAAGCAAATGTGATCAAACAGTATAATTTCTGCAGTTTTGAGTGGGCTTCTGAAATACAAGCATATGTTAAACTGATTTTGAAAAGCCAAATTAAGCATCTAAGAGGAAAATGCAAAAATACTTTGAATTGCTAATTCAACTCAAAGGCATTGACCTAACTTTACTGTAATGTGGCACTAGGTAAGTAAGTATCCTTATTTAAAGATAATAGTGATTAAAAGTGTGCTTGTGCAAGTTATCAATACTGCACAATCAATTACTGTCTGTAAGTTGCTGATATTATAAAGCATTTATGAACAAGTTGCAGAGTCCTTGCCGAATAGGGAAGCTTTCTTGGACCAGGACCTAAACAAGACTGTAATTACTGTGGACCCCGGTGTTCATGCCAGTTATGAACCTGTTAGTTAAAAACTTTAATCAAAGAAACAAAAATCAAGAGAGGGAAAAAAAGAAAGTAGTCATATGGTTCAAAATCATCATTCCATTGTATATTTGAAGATCATCATTCCACTACCATCTGTAATAATGTCTAGTGGCATACTTGTACAAATCTGCCTAAAGCACTTGTAATTTTTGGGTTGTAATAAAATAAGAATGATGCTTGTATCTCTATGTATTCAGTTCTGGAAAACTCCAGCAGTAATATGTACCACACACGAATATTTATGAGAGTAAAATAATGGTTATACCCTTATTTAATTTTTAATCTGATATCTTGGGTATTATTAACTCTCCTGGCAGTATTAAGAGGAATAATTTCATAATTCAGTAGTGAAAAGAACTGCAAATGAACCGTAAGTAAATTGAGCCGAATTATCTTTTGCAAAGATCTGAGAAAGAGAGACTGAGGGTATGTGGGTTGCATGTGAAAACCTACAGAAATCAGAGGTATTTAGTGTGTGACAGACCACCTTGCTCCGAGTTCTGCCTTCAGAGTTCCCACGCTCAGGAAACAAATCTGCAGGCACGGCCTCTCTCTCTGCCAGGTCACAACCAGCACTCCCAGCTGCCAATTCCTCTCTGTCCCCAGCTTTTCCCTGTCCAGGAAACTATCAGAACAGGTATGGGGGACCCAGCTCTGCAGAAGAGCAGAGTGACACACAATAAGACAAAATAAGCTTTAGCAAATGAGACAAACCAGGATTACACAAAATAGACACCCAGTACCTGATGCTACCAGTGATTCAGACAGAGCAGGAAACAAAGCATGAAATCAGGTCCACTACAGCTGATTGCATCAGGTTTTAATCTTAGAATCACAGAACGGTTTGGGTTGGAAGGGACCTCAAAGATCATCTCGTTCCACCACAGGCAGAGACACCTTCCACTATCCCAGGTTGCTCAGAGCCCCATCCAGCCTGGCCTTGGACACTTCCAGGGATGGGGCAGCCACAGCTTCTCTGGGCAACCTGTGCCAGGGCCTCCCCACCCTCACAGGGAAGAAATTCTTCCTGATATCCCACCTAAACACACCCTCTTTCAGTTTGAAACCATTCCCCCTTGTCCTACCACTACCTGCCTCTATAAGAAGTCCCTCTCCAGCTTTCTGCTTTGCCTGGATTTAACAGTTGAGAAAGATCTCCCTGACACTCCTCCCTGGTTGCAGAATTACTGTTTGTGTGTTAAAGACAAGCAGATGCATAAATACTTTCCTGTCTCAATCTGAAAGGCTTTTCCTAGGCTGGCACTCCCAGAAATGGGGAAAAATTCCTGCTAACTGTGCAGTCACATATCCATGCCAGTCATAGAGTGACCTCCTGGGTAAATCCAAATTAATTCACCAGTCTGGTTTTAAGTGTCCACTAAAGAGTGCTACAAAGTTGGATTCAGGAGCTGGATACCCAGTTCCTTTAAAATTAATGGCAGCTGAGCACTTAAATCTTACCAGTGGTTTAAAACACTAAATGGAACGAGTACAAGTGGAAGACTATATTGAAACTCATTTTTATTTACCTGTTCATCCTAAACCTTCCTATGTTTCACTTGGTTCTACTCCCTTTAGTTCTGTTTCCTGGATCTGAGACTGCTTCCCCTCTTGCTGTGATTCCTGAACCCCCTCACCTTGTTTGTCCAACACACATTTTACTCATTTTAACCTTAATCAGTCTCTTTGGGCACTTTTTCACTCTGTCCTCCTCCCCTGAGTCCTTCCAGGATGTCAACAGCTTTTTGGGTTTGACATATCCAAATTACACACTGATTTTCTCATTACTGCCTAAGTAACAATTCGCAGCCAATGTAAGTCTCCTTCTCTTACCAATTCATAATATTTTCTTTAATTTCCTAAGTGCACCAGTATTAGTGACAAGAGTCACTTAGAGCAGTGGTCTTCCAGGGGAAGTGCAAGGCAATCCACTGACACGCAGGAAGAAAATACTTTTTTAATATTAATAAATATAATTGATTTTTAAAATATTTTAAATAGTATTTTTGAATATTTATCTCCTCCTTTGAAATATCTATTTGTGTGCATGCTTTATAATGTACATAATATGTTCTTGCAGTAGCAAATATAAATAATTTACAAATAAATAGATGTGTTGAGGGAGGGGGACAGAGAGAACTCACCTGGTACAGGGTCAGGCCTTGATGACTTGAAAAACTGCTGCCATCATTCCCATCAGTGGGAAAGTGAGGGTTCAGTGGGAGACATTTAACTTTGGCACCAGGCACTTTGATTAGGGAAAAGGGATGTAGAAGTCTATTTTTCCTCCTGTAAACAGAAATTCAACTAAGTCTACTGTATGTATTTCACATATTTTGCACATGCATGTATGTGCACAAGTTACAAAAAATATGTATATTTTATATATTACTGCATTATTTCTTGTATTGCATTAGCATATTTATTCATGTCTTTTGCATAAATTTACAGTGGTTCCTGCACACATACTTTAAATTTATGCAATACACCTAACAGACAGCACACATATATTTGATGCATTTTGCATTTAGTTCTAGGTAGAAGAACTGCAACTTCTACATAATTTGACATATCACATTATAATTTACCATTTGCCTTTGGTTATAATTCTGCCAGACTTGAACTCTTTGCACTGAATTTTTACATAATTTCTCTCTCCTTCTGACTTAGTTTCTTTGGAGAGTTTGAGCAAAAGTGATTTAGCCATTTTTAAGAACAAAGTTTGTGAAGAACAGCCAGTGTAAACTATGCTGAAAACTGTTCATCTTCTGAACATCTCCAGCCACAGTCTGGAGAAGAAATTTAGAGAAGAGCAACCACTCCAAACATGAGAAGGATCACCCACCTTTTTGGTGAAAATACATTCAGATTGGCCAATTCTTTACTTTTTAAATACATTTTTTTTTCCATTGCAAAGCCCCTGTGACAAATATTTCTTAGAAAAAACCACCAGTACTGTGTTTCTTTTCTAAAACAGTGAATGGTTCAGCTCTGATGTTCCTGACGGAGACCTGGGTGCCCAAGCTGGACCAGTGACCCACACCTTTTCCACAGTTTTACCAATTCTAAGTTTGATACAAAGCCTAAAAGGCAGTTCTGAAGCAACTAGTTTTCAGTCCCTACCCCGCATCAAAGCACAGTGGGCTGAGAGAACAGCAAATTCAGGTCCACCCTCCTCAAGACGAAGGTTCTGTGAACATCAACATTTTTGGCTGGAAGTGTTCCAGGTTGTGGTCTCTAAATGTTTCAGGCTCAAAGGGTAATACGTAATAATGAAGTCACATTTTAAGAAGAATTTTACCTGGGTTTTACTTTCTGCTTAGTCTTGACTGACAACGAGTACACTCCTATAAGGAGATTCGGGCTGGATTCCTGTTTGAAGGTTAAGGTTTATTCTTATTTTCTAAATGCAGAGCTTTTCCAACAAGATGCTCATTTAAAAGCATTCACTTACAGAGCAAGGCTGGTACGATGCTGCAACTACAGAGTACACATAATGAATGTCAGATACCTTTTAATGAAGCTTTGTCTTTTTTTGTTTCTTTTCCACTCTGCATCAGTTCTTGTAAATTTCTGTTCATTTTCCCATCCTTCTTTTTGCTCAGTCCTTGAGCAAGTTTTATGACAATATTCTCAAATGTTTCACTTTCCTCTTTCACCCCCATCCTTGTCTTCTGTTCCAGTAGAGAGGAGTGTACCAAGCCATAGCCTGAAAAAAACCAAAGAACGTATCACAGCTTATTTATATTCTACCTTTTTTCATCAAGAAAATTGTTTGCTGTAGGCAAACAAAGGAGGGCTGAAAGGGGAGGCACTCCAATGTATTTCTGAGTTATTTAACATTTGAAAGACAAATACTAATCACAACCAACAAATTCCAGAGTTTTTACTGCAAAATCCATTTCCAGTCTTTAAATATATTTAAGGTGGATTCATCATCTAAGACCCTTTAAATTCTGCAACTCCAATTAAGTAAATTGGCAAAAGAAGGAGAGAAAAGAGGACAGGACTTCTGCAAGTGTGTCAAAGGCTGCTGAAGGAAGAAAAAGCAACCTGTTCCCCGTGTCCACAGTGGATAGGACAGGAAGGAAAGGACTAAAACCAAGGCAGAAAAAATTCCATTTAGGCACTAAGAAAGCTTTTCTAAGCACACAGAGAGTGAGGCACTAAAGCAGATGACCTGGGGACATGGTGGAGTCTGTGTTTCTTAAGATCTTCTAGAACTACCCAGGCAGGCCACAGCCAGGAGCAATCACATCTCAAGTTTCCTTTCAGCCTCTGATCTCCTGGCACTGCTGTAACAGTAAGTATGGCCAAACTGAGCTAGAAGGGGAGTAAATGTGAAAAGGTGAGGCCAAAAGTCAACATGCACTCAACAGTTACAAGATGTAATTCACACTTGTGGAGCCCCAGCTTCAGTCGCTGTGAGGGTGGCAGCCCTTCAGTCAACAAGTGATGGCATCAATCTACTGTTTTTCTTCTATCCTTCAGATCCTAAAAATTCACATCCACACTGAAGCAAGGTTAATACAGTGATCATAGATCTGCTGGGTTTGTTTTGCTTGATTATACAAGGACTTTAACCACATGATCCTAAATCTCTGAGGGAAATCCAGTGATAGGGCTGTCTGTCCTGGACTAAGGTGGTGATTTTTCTCAGGGCAGTCACTTGACCACTGTGCTCACAGACAATGGCAGCACAGTCAAGGCTTGTCCTAAATCTCACCAGGTCCTTCCAAAGAAAATCTGAGGGAGATTTGTGAAGCATTGTAGCATCTGCTGTCCAAACCTGCAAAGATCAAGAAGCCATTAGATTAAAGCCAAAATAGCTCCTAGATGTTTATACAATATAAGGATTCAGTAAAACAACAGCTTTTCCTTTTTCTTTTTCATTTTTGTAACACTGGTCACTGTTTGATCTGTGAAATCAAAGCTGAAAGAACTTGCAGCTTAGTTATAGTGATTATTTTCAAGTACCTTTCCTGTGGATTAAGAGAGATTAGTAAAGACACATTTTTTTCAAGGTGTGATAGTAAATCCTGGGCTTTTTGGTCTGGCTTGCTGAGAGTAAGATTAAAAACAGGCAGTTTCTTTTCTTTTCTGAATTACCAGGGGCAACAGAAGAGATCTGTGATATCAGCTTTAAAATTCCAGTCTCTGCTTGATTCTGGATTCCCTCTGTTCAGGGAGAAGCTGTCTCTACTGGAGACTAGACTTTTTTTTAACTTTTATCCCTATATAAAAGATTTAACAACATTGTGCTTTAAAAAGTGAACACAATTATCCGTGACCTTCCTTTATCACTAACACAGCAGCAAAAGGACCCATCATGAAAACATTTCTCTTACATGAGACAACACCTTTTTGCAAATGGTGTTCCTAAAGGATTTGGCATTTGCCATCTGTGAGAAAATGGCTTCAACCTTTTCCTGGGAGCCAAAGCAATTCTAACCCAACTTCAAAGGAGAAGCATCTCGAAAAAAAATAAAATTCGCCTTTCCAAAAGTGCTCCCCCTGCTCTGCCAAGGTGTGCTTGTGGCTTTTTCACACATCCACCAGAAGACAGTATTGACTTTTGCTCTTCTGGGCCCCCCAGGACTGCATTTCCAGCTTCCTTATAGGAAGGCTCCCACAGGGATGCACTGTCCTGCACTGAGCTTGGTAATGAACATGGACTTGGCCTCTTTTAAGTCTGCAAGGCAGAATATTTTGTTCTAGAGGAAGGTGTCCCTGCCCATGGCAGTGGGTTGGAACGGGATGATCTTGAAGTCCCTTCCAACTCAAGCTATTCTGTGATTCTGTGAAACAGAAACTGTTATGAACCTTCTATCTTAACCAGTTGTTCATCCAAGAGCTCTTTAATTATAATATTAACAGCAACATTTAGTTCACATGTTGAAGTAGTTTTCATTACTAGATGCATATATTTGTCGGTTTGTATTTAAAGCTTTTTTGAGGTAGGATGAAATCATCTGACTCTGCATCTTAAATCCTACCTACCTCTTTAACTCTTATTCAAACTGGCAAAAAGGTACATCTGAGCTAGCTGGAGGGGAAGTAATTCCTAAGGAGCAGCAGCCCATGCACTGAATTTTTAACATTTAGTCTGGCAAAACATCAAAGGAGAGCACATCATTATCTTCCTTTTACGGAATAGGAAACTAAGGCACAGAGTATCATCATCTTGCCTAAAATCGTTCAAAGCAAATCCAGGAACAGAGCCCCATAGCCAGAACAGTGGTTTAAGGCTTTCTGTGCTTGATAACATCTGTCCTCAGTCAGTAGATACACCCTGGAAAACAACATCATTTCTTTTTTTATTTTCAGTTGAGATCCTACTCTAGTAATACTTCAATCTATAGAGAAAACCATATCAATTCGTTCATTAGCAACACACAAGACTCATTTCTTTTCCAGTTCCATGATTTGTGGGTTTCTGATCCACCTCTGTTGACAAACACTGGCACAACTCAATACTCTGACAGTACAGGGAGCTTTTTTGTGAGTAAAGCTTGGAAAAAGGAAAACATGAAACATATCAACCCCCATTGCTTTACCCTGTTTCAGAGGAAAAGTTCAGGATCTTTACAAAATGAGTGCCCAGATGAACTTCACCAATTTTCAAATTTCCAGTAGCACTGAAAGTACAAAAGTTGATTTGGAAGTGTAAAAGCATTGCTTAATTGAAAAAAAAAAAGCATGTATTTTTTTATAACAGCAAGCCTAGATGTCAGTAGTTAACGGTAAGTAATTGGACCACAAGCAGAATATTTACAGCACTGCCACTCTACTTTTTATGCAGCACCTTTCATCTGAAAAAAAAAATCCATTTGCATTAAAATTAGTATATTCTGTTTCTCTTTCACACTTAGGTAGAATCCATTACCATCAGAAATTAAAAGGTTCCTTGTGGGGCAAGAAGTCATCACTATAGTGTTTGAATTTGGGCTTGTCTAAATTTATATAGGCTCCAACCTCTAAGGCTGCCTGGAGTATTTAGCCCAATGTGGGTAGTGGGAGTTATGTAGCTGACTCCATAAGTTTAGACAATTCCTCCTATCCATCATTTCTTCTGCCTCTCACCATTTTTTTTTCTTCCTGGAGAAAGACAAATCTTCATTATTAACACTTTATTAACTCAAAGAGTCCCTGCTACAAGACTGAGATTTCCTCCCTCCCTTGTTTCAGAATCACAGCAGAGCAGGGTCTGTTCTCTATCTGCAGTAAGATCAGGGACTTCTTGTGTGAGCAAGGGAACACTCAATCTCCCTCAAGCACTGGAAAACAAATTCATCACTTGAGTGTTCCTTTAAGTAGTGCACATGTCAAGGGAGCACTTTTAAATGCTCAGTCCCAGACTGCAATACTCATCATAGGTCTTATTAGACAAGTTGTGAATGAAGTTTAAGAATCATTCAGCTTTTCATGTGGCATCGACTGCAATAAATTTTGTTACTTAGCACTGCTGCAGTGTCTTGCCTTTCTTCTGTGCAGGTAATGCTTTTGCCCTCGCCACATTCATCTTGCTCCAGTAAGCTTAAGTCAGACCTCTGTGTGTACAGCAAAAGTTGTCCCAGCAGCCCAGACAGCCTATGTGCTTGCTTAAAATAGCTAAACCCTCATGCACAGTGTGACAAATACTGCCCACCCACCCCAAATAACTCAGCTGTGTGGTGTAGCAGTGAGTCACACTCGCTCAGGACAGCCAGGCTGCCTCCAGGCTGCTGCTGGCACTGATAGATTTGGAAGCAGAGCCGCAGGGAACTACCCCCTCCCTGTCCAGGAGTCATGAGCAGCAAATACAACACTTGGCTGCCTCTCCTCTGCCTTCCTGCAAACTTTGGGAACTCCTGAGACCCTCTCCTCCCTCTCAGTCCTGCTCTATTTGTGCTTCACATCAGCACAAAGAGACTGGAGACAGCTTTTACCAGAGACAGAGCCTCAGAGGAGCTTCAGCAGCACAGCCAGGCTGAGGAGCTCCTCATCTCCTGCTGTCCCCCTCTTCTGACTGTTCCCTTTCCTCTGGCTGCTGCAGCCTGGCCTGTTTCCCCTCCCTCCCTGCCTGTAGGACCACACTCTAAGCTGGATCACTGAAATAAAGCAGCATAAAAGGTTTGGGGGGGATATTATTTTAACTCGAGCTGTTTTGGCAGCCTCTGCACGCTGCTGTATCAGTGTGGCTGGAGGGATGGGCCAGCTGTGCTTCAACACTTTGCAAATGCTGAGACTCAAACTCACAGCTGGTTTCTAGAGACATGGTCACAGCAGTGGCCTAGGGCTCTAAAATCAAAATGACACCAGCAACAAAGGGAAAACCCTGACACTTTTACCCTCTGAAAGGGTGTGGAAACAGTCAAGTCAATGGGAGAAAGCTTTTAAACTGTACAGAAGGCAAGGATCTTCCTGATCTTCCATATCTCTCTACTAGTGCAAGGAAAGGGAAGGAAAAGTTTTGGGTGCCAAAATCTATCTAAGAGCAGGACAGGTAAAAGCAGATGGGAAAAGACATGTCCTAAAACAGTCCAAAAAAGTTCATTTTATGATGTAACATTGTAAACAGTAGAATCCTGGTTGACAAAGGGGTGAAAAATGATGGTAGTGTAACTT